GTTTGATTAGGGACATCTTTAAATGATCCATGTGACTCCCATGTCTCTGTTCAAAGGGGAATGTACAGTGGTAAAACATCTGGAACCAGCAGTTACTCCCACTTCCCTGAACATTTAAGGGAAACAAATTGAAACTGTGTTTATGTTTTTAGTGTCTGCCCCACATGATGTTTCTAACCAAGAACCAGAGGTGATATCAACAACCTCTGTGCCCTAATGATAAGCTAACAGGCTAACCACGGCTAATGTCAAGCATTCTCCCACACATGGTTATCTGAAAGTCAGCGGTCAGACATGGAGGCAGCATATTCCAGTGGTTGGCCTCTCCCAACCAGTAGGCAACGCTCAAAACCACTCAGAGGGAGAGAGAAAAACGGCCATCTAAATATAGCATTTGGGGCTCAGCAAGAGGCCCTCTGCATGAGGTCTGGCCACACACACAGAGGTACAAGTATATATACAAGCACACACACACATTCACCAACAGGTTTATTTAGTTTGGATTGAAGGTAACTTGTATTTCAATCAGGAGAGACGGTTTTGATGTAATAATACATATTTAATGCGCAGATACACAAATGAATGTGACAGTTTTGGTGATTAGGCCCCGTTGTGCAGGAAGTATCATTCGGGAGGGTAGAACCGATCCAATGAAAACCCCCAGGGGTCTAGACACTGGTGGTGGTGAATGGATAGTTGGGTCGGTCTGGGGAGGAGTGGTTTAGCTTGACCCTGGATTCGGAGGGACGGGAGGTGAAAAGGGGTGGAGGAGGGTTGCGTTGAGTCACCTGAAATGACAGCTGTCAGAGGGGAAAGAGCAGAGTTTAAAGGGTTTGACGGCACGCTATGATAGGCTCTTGGGAATAGAGCGAAGTGATTGGCTAAACTGAAGAGTGACGCCCCCGGTCACTTATTGACCATTATTATTAGAGGAGAGAGAGTAGAAACATGGAGATAGAAATACATGAATGAGTAAAGACGGTCTTCCCTGGTTGAACTTGCGCTGAGCTTCATTAGTGGTCGTTGGCTGGATAACCCCACTGCGAGAGATGTTAGGAAAACAGATATTTCCAAAACTCAGAAGGTTTACATATTTAATTTCTTACATAAACACAGTTTCAATTTGTTTCTCCACAATTTTCAGGGAAGTGGGAGTAACTGCTGTTTCCAGATGTATGTTTACCACTGTATATTCCCCTTTGAACAT